AAAGAGTGTGCTTTTAATTTGCTCAGTTTGTTTGTAAATCCAGTTTGTGTTTGTGCTGTATGAATCTGCACCGGTGGTTCTCGGCTAGTGGGTTGTGACCCAAAAAAGGTATGTTTAAATAAAGATTTAAATAAATTATAGGTTTATTACATTTTAAAGGAGGATAAAACACCTTCCGTAACTTTTTAGTGTATTCACTTGGTAATTATGATTCAGACTATCACAATATTTTGTCCAGTGTTTGTTTCATATCTTAGATTGATTGATCACACATCTTTGGCAAATACATGCACAGATTAATTTATGAATTTTTTAAGTCAGTTTTCTTATATAGAACAACAGCTGAGATCCAGATGTAAAAATCCCATTCAATTTTTCCAAAGAAATTAATATAGAAATCTCTACAATTTTTTAAACATATTATTTGTGCATATATATTTTATATTTAAATATTTTTACAGCTATTATAATAAATAAAAAGGAAAAATATAAAACATAAAATTAATTAGTATCATTCAGTTAATATCACTCAAATAAATAAAAACTGACAGATAAATCCTTAAAATCTCAAACAATCATGTGCATGAATATTTATATTAAATATGATTTATTAAATGTATTACATATTATTATATGTATTCTCATGAATAAATTAAATCTATTATTATTGTTTAATTAATATAAAAATTATTCAATTTCCCCATAGAAATTGACATAAATCCCCATGAACTTAAACCTACATTCACAAATAAGATTATAATTATTATAATATAATTATAATATCATTATATTTATCGTAATAAATACCTAAAGGGGTTCCTTTGTGTGACCATGTGATGTAAAATTTACATCTTAATGTCAATGTAAAATCTAGCAAACAATGCTCATAAAACCTAGAGGTTTTCCTGTGCTGTTTAGCTGGAACTTTAACACTAAATGCTTCCCATATTGCCTTGATGCAGTGCATTAAGGGTAACATTCATTCGAAGGAGGGCATGATAATGAGAGATCTGAACAGGTTGTGGGGTGCTGGATAGTGCTGCCATGGGGTCTTTTCTTTAATAGTCTGCTAAAACCTGCAACTACGCACAACTACAGTAAAGGTTTTTTAACACTACTCCGTTCAGCAGGGTGTCATTGAAATAAGTTTCCATATGAGTGTGCAAGATGAAAACAGGAAAATACAGCCCAAAGGAAAGAGAATAAGATAGGAAGATCAGCCAATGCACGTATTCCACACGGACACAAATTGTTTTGCAAAGCCAAAGTAATCAAACACACTCATCTCTATTCCTAGAGAGTTATGGTTGCTTTCACTGCTCAAATGGTTTGAAGAGTCTGCGAGAGAGCTTCATGATAGAGAGAGCAAATGAAGCAGAGGAAACGGGGGATCAGGGTGGAGTGTGTCTGTGGTGATGACATTTCACCAGAGCTACTAGCTGCTGGTGGAAAGGGAGGGTTCCTCCGGGACACAGATAAGTGTGTGTTTGTGGTCACCTGTGGATGATGAAGTCTATATGTTGCACAACCTAAAGATCATTCCAGCCACTGATATTAAAGAGGGTGTGTTCTTTTACGGGTCAAAACAGGGCCTGATCAAATCGTGTACAAACAAATTTAGAATAATGATTAGAACATATTTATTTTCCGTTATTTAAAAGTGAAGTATATGATTTTAAACAAAGAAATTAATAATTTTGCTTAGCAAGGATGCATTAAAATTTACCTATTTCCATTTCATGCTATTCTTTTGAAATGTCTGTTCATCAAAGAACCCTAAAACAATATATCCCAGTTTGCACAAAAATATTCACAGCACAACTGTTTTACCATTGATAAGAAATGTGTCTTGAGCACCAAATCAGCATATTAGACTGATTTCTGAAGACTGGAGTAATGGCTTCTAAAAATTCAGTTAATAAATTACATTTTAAAATATGTTAAAATAGAGAACTGCTACTTTAAATCTGAATATTATTCAACAATATTACCGTTTATATTGTATTTTTGATCAAATAAATGCAACCTTTATGAGCATAATAGCATAATGGCTGTTTTCAAACAGATTTTCCAAACATTTTGGGATACTGCATAAAAAAATGCTGGATGGAAACACTAAGATGTGAATTAAATTTCCAAAGTGGGCATGAAAAATACATAGTCTCGTTTGAGGTGTAAAAGTTAAGACATGCACATAAACTGAATGTGATGTTGTTGACACATGCATGTGTGTGATTTACAGCTGGTTTCTAAATAATCACATTAGCACATCATTTTTATTTGCTGGCACATGATTTTCATATACAGTATAAACAGTCTAATTTCACTGCAAGCAGAGTGCGTGTGTGTGTGTGTGTGTTTGGGGTGGTAGGTGAGTTTGTGTGTAAGTGCGTGCATGATGTACTACAACTTTTGGTCATTAAGTACATCTATATGTTTAGATGCATGCATGATTTGCCTTATCAGATGAATGAGTCCTTTAATTAGAATCTGTCGTATTGGGTTCTTTCTTTCTTATTCCTTTCTTTCTTTTCTCTCTTTCATTACTCCACCCTTCTCACTCACACACATACACATATATATAGGCAATGACTCACTATTCTGGTCTATATAAGGTGACCTCACCAGCCTTGTAAACACAGCGCTAAACGTCCAATCTGACGTGATGTATGATGATGAGACAGTGATGGAGGTGAAAATGTACTGAGCCCAGTCTATAAGAATAAATAAGGAAAACAGCCTCCAGCATTCTCTTATTAACAATCTGTCCTCCATCCATCCTTTTTTCATGCATCTGCCGTCTGTCCATCCATCCGTCCATCCATGCATAATTAGAACTATCCATTTAACCAACTTTCCATCATTTTATTCATCTATGCATCTATTTATTCCTCTTTCCATCAGTTCATCCATTCATCTACCCATCCACCAATCCAGCCACCCACTACTTATCCATACACTTATAATATACATTTATGCATTCCTAATTACCTCCACCTATCCATTCATCCCTCTTTCCATCAGTTCATCCATCCATGGATCTCTCTGCACATCAACATTCATGCATAATCTATCTAACATAGATTTATTGGTGTAGTGCTGGATCACTCACGGGTACAGGCCATTGACCGCGGGTCCATGTCAGCTCTGTAAAATCCCTTCTCGCAGGAGCACTCGGAGGCTTTCTCCTGATGGGAGAAACTGTAAGGAGGACACTTGGTGCAGTAGGCGTCCATGGAAGAGGCCTTGTAGGTACCCGGCCCGCAGGCTGCAAAACAGAAACATGAAGACTGAAATGTTAGACATAAAGCTTCACAGAGCACTCCTGGAAAACAAAATAAAACATACAATGAAAAGAGAAAACAAAACAAAAGTTCTGAAAAAAACTTTTTCATGAAAAAAACAAAACAAAAGTAAATGGAACTAAATTAAAAGAAACTAAACAAAGCGAAACAAAACAAGAAACAAAACAAAAACAAAAAAGCAAAACAAAAAAACTAAACTAAATTAAACCACAACAAAAACAAACAAACAAAACAAAACAAGTCATACCAGCTTAAAGTAGACCAGTTTTTAAAGAATATCTGTAGAATATAGAATATAAATTAATATAAATTAACAGCTTGGCCAACAGAAAAACATGTAAAACCAGCTGTCATCAGAAGCGAATAGGATGAGTTTGGGACATGACTAACTGTTTGCTGACCAATGGTAGACTGCATTTGAGTAACCTGTTTATAAACAGTCATTATTTTTGTTATTCTTTTTTTAAAAGGCTCAGAAAGTACACGCTTCAGCTGTAAATACACATTCCTTTCTCCTTTTCAGAGTTGTTACAGCATCCCGTGTTCTGTAAAAATGGGTCAGTCAACACGGACTTAAATAACCAGTGGAGAAAAACGAGCCCGAGTGCCGGAATTACAAATAGTTTCTTGTAGCAGAGTGTCCCTAAAGGACTTTGCAAAACCAAAACACATCCTTGAAACCTGGATTCAAATTCAAACATTTCCCTGCCTCAGAGTACACCACGAATATGTTTACAAACCAGACACCGGCAACCTGACTCTCCTCTCCAAATGTGGACATTTCTGAAAGGGAAAACAGCTATCTCACTTTCTCTTTTCTAACTATCTCTCTTTCTCTTTCCCATCTTTTTCACATCTGCCTCTCACATTCATTTGTTTGCCTCAAAGCCCCAATGGATGACCCAATTTCTTGGCCCCTCTTAGGAACCGCGAGAAATACGTGAGGAGGAATTCAGCCATTTACCCATTTACAAATGCGAAGTGTCTTCACAAACACAGGCCTGAGAGAAGGAGTGCATAGAGGAGTAGATGAAGGTGGCAAGTACGACTTTAGCATCACTCTAGCTCAAGGCACCAATAAAAAACACCACACAGGGCTTCTGCATATTCTAATGTATGTAAATTCGGAGGCCGCGTGAATGTTAATGAATTGGAAAGGGCATATTTATTTGATTGCTTTGCTGCTTGGCACTCGTTGAGGGGATGTTGGTGGGAGGGAGGTGGTTCATGATGGCATGTCTCAGGGGTAGAGACGTAAATTCACGGCGCAGTTAAGGCGAGAGCGTTAGCAATCTGCAAATTAGACAATCCTGCTGGCCGCCGAGGTCAAGCCATTGCTAGTGTCGGAAACGCAATTCAATTGATGGATCAATGCAATGATGAATTTATCCTCACCTTGATTGCCTGTGTGAGTGGTGAAGGTCATGGATTTAATCAAGGCCTGGAGCTCCTCTGCTCGCCCATAAATCCACACCCAGCAGAGAGCTGCATGCTAACCCTGCAACGTCAAGATCCAATCTCCACCTCGGTTCCTATACATTCTCACATCATTTGCTGCTGTCTTTTTTTTTTTTTCCTCTAAAAACAATTAATATAAATGCAATGTGTAACTTTCATAAGCATCCAGTGTTTCTTTGATTTATCATGGGAGTCATATTTCATTTGTGTTGTTTTCCCAGTATAAATATATAAACATTATTTTAAAAAGTGACTTTAAGGTTGGCATGAAATGGAAATTGTGATAATCTTTTTTTCTGTATTGTGATGTATATCTAAGTGTAATGGCTTACTTAATTCAAAGGGATAACAAGTTCATTTTTCTTCCTTATTATTATTGTGCCATGCTCTGATTACACAATACAAAATAATAAAACCAGTTATACAGTATATTTAAAAACATATATTGCCCCCATAAACTTCAATGTATTTAGCTACATTTTATTAGCAAAAGTAATAATGTAGCTACCTACTTATATTAAAACGGTAGCTTGACTGCTAGTTTAACAATCAAAATTTAAATGAAACTGACTTACCAACAGATTTATATATTGTGAAATGGATTACTGAAAAAGAAAAAAATGGGTTACACTTTATTTCGATGGTCCACTTTAGACATTCTACTAACTATAAGTAACTTTGCAACTACATGTCAACTAACTCTCATTAGAGTATTAGTAGACTGTTAGGTTAGGGTTATGGTTAGTAGAATAAGCTGACATACTTGCAAAGTTATACTCATAGTCAGGAGAATGTCTGTTGTGGGACCATCAAAATAAAGTGTTAGCAGATATTAAGCAGTCTACTAATATTCTAATGACTGGTAGTTGATATGTATTTGCAAAGTTACTTAAAAGTTAGCAGAATGTCTAAAGTGGACTATCAAAATAGTGTTACCAAAAAATGTAAGGTGGGGTCTTGGTTCAGTTCATCAGTTGTTGATTGGATGGAGACAGGTCTACATACAAGTTTATAGTCCTTTTCAAGAAAGGGGTGGGGTTTATGCTAATGAAATGATTGGAGAAGTCCAGCATATGTAACCAGAGAGAAATCATTTCACCGGTAGACTGAATTATGACATTTTGATTACGATTTTGTTTTTTTGTTTTTAATTAAAAAGTCTTGGACGAATCATTTACAATAAAATCAATAGCATTTAGAAAATAGACTGAACTCATGCCAACTTCAAACTATGAATTTAAACTTGTAGTTTGACAAGCAAAAGTAGTTTTCCCAGCACTGGTGCAAACAGCTAGGCTATGGCTCCAACTGTTCCATTCTCCCTGGAGGAACACATGCATTCCAGAGCTGTGATCTCAGTAACTTGGATCAATACTTGTCACTGAACATGTTCATTGATATGATGTACTGGTAGGGAAACCTCACCTGTTAGCGAGGCACTATCAAACCATAGCATTGATAAAGACATGCTTTACCTGCTGAGCTACAAAAACAAATTAATTTAATTAGACTGGAACTAAATACAAGGACAGTCACCTTTGGATGGGAATGGAGGGATTGAACCAGAAACCTTCTAATTACCAGAACCTTAACCACGACACCACACTATCCCATTTCATTGTTCTGATTCAAATGAAAAGTCAGCCAATTGGGACACATTTCATGGCCTCCTAAATAGCCATACGTAAACAAATAAATTCAAATGAGGTTCAAGAGTGTGTTAGTCTTGAGTGTGGTGGGCCTTTTGTTGGGTCGTAGCGGTTGGAAAGAGTTGGTTGAGAGATAGAAAATGAGATGAGTATGGCTCTGCTCTTAGAAAGCCTAATCAGAAGTGGAGCGTCTGGGGTGAAGGCTGGGCACCGTGCCGCTGTACTGAAGAGTTTTGGCCTGCTGATGAGGGTTGCCTTGCTGTTCCTTCCTGGCACTGGTCCACAGCGGTATATCAGAACTCCCAAGCAGCCTGACCACACACACACACACACACACACACACACACACACACATCAAAAACACACACACACAATCTGGAGCAAACACACATAGGCCCATACAGCCACAGGAAATTCCCTTCTGCGTAACAACTTTTGAAAGTCTTTCAAAGTGTTTCTGAGAAAAGAAGTCTATGACCTCCAGCATCTGTTTAGATGACTTTCAAAGACTCAGCTTTACCACAACCGTTTCTGCAGTATGTGCTTATCTCAAGCAGTGAAAATAATACGGCTGGGTCGAAGATTGAATAGCCATAATTTGTTCATTCAGCCAAACCCAAATTATATTCAATGCAAATAATTTCATGTGATAGTGAAACACTGGAAATTGCTCCTATTGGAGTCATTAGGTTCAGGGAAGCTTGATGTTTATTTGAATAACAGTGTTTGACAGAATTAAAGACATAAGTACTATGTGAGTAAAATTCTTCCCAACAGCATAATTTTCATGTCAGGAAAAGTGAAGGATCAGGATGGCTGACTAGTTATCCAATACTTATCAACTCTCTCTGTTTAAATCTAGATTAAAGACACATCTTTTAATATATGTTTGGACTTCAGTACAGATAGATTTCAGGGGGTGATTTCTTTGTGCCACTGTGTTCTTTTTGGAAGTGTAAGAAAGAGAAAGAGAAAGTGAGAGTGTGTGTGTGTGTGTGTGGCCAGAGGTCGAGAAAAAAAATCCCAAGAGAGGCTGAATATCTTGTGCATGGAGAAAGACCCAAACAGACGTCCACATTGCGATACTAGGAAGAAACCAGAACCACTGCCTGAATCTACTGGAGCCAAACACTAATGATGAGGCATAAATGAAAGTTTCTCACACTATTTGCAGTGAAATAAGTTACAGTTTGGACATACTTGTGTTAAACCTTTAATGACAACTAAAAGTAAAGTCCACATGACTTAAGATGCTACCTTACAAACATCCATGGAATGGACATAATACACTTGGGACCCCCAAATCTATGTCTATGCTTCTTGTATAAGACAGTCCAAACTTCATACATCACAACAGAAAGATTTTTCAATACTTCAGTGTTCTGACTGCAGCGGTACGTCTGAGGAACCGTAAAGCTCTGTGTCCGTTCCTCCCAACAGCATGCGCTCTTACTCCGATAGTAAATCAAAGGACAAAGGGAAGCGAACGCTACAGAAATCTACATCTCAGATATCTCCAGGAGGTTTGCCCCATTAAAAATTCATACCCATCTGACTCCAGCTCTTTGTTTATGGCAATCAATAGCTTTTAGATATGATTCCTGAACATAAGAAAAGGGAAAACGCAAACGCTTCGGGGAGGCGAGAGCTGATGAAAACGATCCACTCGCGAGACAACATTGTTTATGAGACAAATTTATTTGTCATTTTAATTTACAGAGTAGCGGTCATCTGTGAAATTTGAATACGCCATTGCTCAAATATTTTATGGTGAGAGCATTTTATGATGTTCAATAATTGTGTGCCGTGCTATAATAATGCTTTGGTGGAAAAATAAAAAATTAGAGAGAAAATAC